AAATGTCAAAATAAAAAAAAAAAGCAGCAGCGTACACATGGGATGAGGCCCACGGGTCTGAGTCCGCCCAGCACTGGTGCCGGGCACAGAGCCCCACCGGGCACACCCCGTCCCCCTCCCCAGGAAAAGGGGTCTCCGCGGAGAGCGGGCCGTGAGGCAAACGAAGAGAGTCTCTGATTCACGCACGCCTTTCCCAAGCGCCCACTCTGGGGCCGTCTGGGCACAGACACAAAAACAGCGGCTCCCAGGGCCCCACCACCCAACCCTCCCGCCCTCGCGGCGCTGGGTAAGGGGGTCCACCCGCGCATGGGTGTCCGGGCGTGCTGGGGGCGCCAGGCTGCCTGAGGGCACGGCTCGGACAGGGGCCGCCACCTCCTCGGGGTGGTCAGTGATCATGTCAGGGACAGGGAAGTTCAATGACTTCAAGGGTGGGATTAATTATATGTTGGTGCTGACTAGCAGTGGCTGTGATGGTACAATTACACATGCAATTTATCAGCAAGATATTTGCATACATAATAAACCAAAAGCAAAACATGAAATCTCACTGAATGCTAAAATGAGACAATCCGGCCACGGTGCGGGGCGGTCTCCCTTGCAAGGGGGCGGGAGGGACACGTCAAGGACCGCCCCTCCCTTGCACGCGCTGGGTGTCCCCACCCACCACAGCCACGTGGCTTCTGCCCCGGAATGCACCCTCCACTCCACAAGTCAGTCCCAAACCCCAGCCGGGTGTCAGCAGCGGGCCTTCACAAAGGAAGAGGGTGGGGAAGCGGACTCGGGAAATTCACCGCCCTCCTGACGTCTGGGAACTTGCTAACCGCAGGCCCCAGGGCTCCGGGCAGACCGCCTGCCTGGCCGCATCTTGGGGTTCCCAGGCCTGCTAAGAGTCTGGGGGGAAAGGCTAATGACCTAAAAATGGCCTGTATGTTCCTTAATCTGGGATGAAGAGGGAGAAAGGAAAAAAGAAGGCTAAACCGAAAAAATGAAAACACTAATAATAACAGCAACACATGCGCATTAAATGCCCACTGTGAGCCAGATGTTATTTTAGGCGCGTAATGTGGATTGTATAAGCTCCCACATTGTCCTTGCTGTCATTCCCAATTTATAGGCGAGAAGACTGAGGTGCAGCAATGACCTTGGCCCACGGTCATGAGCCGGGGAGCGGGGTTTCCAACCCAGGAAACCTGGTCCCAGAGTCGGCACCTTTGCCAGAGGTTGCCGGCTGCGCCAGCTGTTCCTTCCTCGCTTCTCTCTGATTCTCCTACTAGTATTGCTGGAATGTCCATGGCACAATCATTTAAAAGTCCAGGAAGGGGTGACGTTTTGTTCTCATTGCTGGAAATAAGCTTACGACAGACAGAGGCCCTCCATGCCTGCACGCGGTGGCCCCGCCGTCCCCTGAGGCTGAGTGTCAGCCGGCCGGAACAGGACACGCCAGAGCCTCTCAGAGACTGTGAAGGGCGCAACGCACCGCAGAGGCTCGCCCGGAAGACAGACCCCAGTCATCTGCACAGGCTGTCGTCCGCGCCTCACGGACCCGCACCCACATGCCCCCCAAAAGAGGCCTCCTTCTCCTCCCTGACGCTCGCCTTCACCCTCGGCCACCTGTGCACGTGCCCGTGTGGGCTTTGACAGGTATTCTCACAGCACGGCACCCACGTGGTTCAGCTCAAAGAGGTTGCCGGGCGCAGCCCTAGGTGTATATCTAGATAGATAGATAGTAGATGATAGGTTTATTGATTTATTGATTTTTCCTGTTTTAAAAGTTGGAGTAAAAAGAAGAGATTGATGAGAATGTATTTCTATAGCTGACCATCTTCATGGAAAAAATGATTGGGGAGGTAAGGAGTGAAGAAATGACAAAAAGTGAGATTGCATTTGGGCCACGGGGCCTACTGTCCTAAGGTTCTATTAGGGCTTAAGATAGAGTCCCACCCACCCACCCACCCATCCATCCAACCAACCAACCACTCACCCATCCAACATCTACCCATCCGCATATCCATCCATCACCCACCCACCCACCCATCCAACCAACTAACCATCCATCCAACCATCTACCCATCCACATATCCGTACGTCATCCATCCATCCGCTCACCCATCCACATCCATCGATCCACCCACCCACCCACCCACCCATCCGTCCATCCAACCATCCACCCTTCCAGTCACCAAAGTTTTCCTGAGAGCCTACTCTGAATCAGGTCCCGTTTCAGGAATTAGGAAAGTACTCCTGCACAAAACAGAGAGGGCCCTGCTCCCTCCAGGTGTACAACACAGCAGGGGAGACAGACCAGACACCAGCACGGGCCTAAGTCTCCAAAACGCGTCCTGCATCCGACACTGCAGGGCATGCGAAACCCCCCAACAGGAAGGCACGCTGGCGTCGTCTCATCTGCTGTCCTCACCACAGACCAGCTGTGAAGACCAGTAAGAGCATCGCCTATGGAAATGCGAAGGGCACCAAAATGCATTCCAACGTGGCAGAATCATCGAGGGCAAATATTACAGGCAACATTTTCATGACACATGTTTTATTTCCCATCTACTCTTCCCTTGATTTAAATAGAGAGATGGATGTGGGTGCACACATATCAAGATGCAAGAGTTTCAATATAAATTTTGTCTTCAAAATACTTTTCCTGATTTCACTTGATGGCCTATTTCAAGCCAATGTGTAGAAATAATCTTTGTTCTGCATCAAAAACAAGGATGCCTCTCGCCTCCTCTCCCCGCCCCCGCCCTGCGCCGGCAGCCTCTCCCCCTGCCCGCCCTCCGGCCGGAAGGAGCCCCAGCACCCCACCGGCCCTCTGAGCCCAGTGGTGCCAGGGCGGAGCAGGGCCTTCCCACGTGCCTCCGGCTGGGGTTCCCGTGGGGGTTCCTGGGGCTGTCGGGGCTGAGGAGCTGCCACCTCACAAAGGCACCAGGAGGAAAGGACAACCCTCCCCACTCCTATTTGAGTGTGTAATTGTTTGAATACATCTCGCCTGCACTACAATAATGTCATCCTTGGTTGACACAGATTTTAAAGCCCTTTGAAAAGGTGGAATGTTATCAATCACGAGGTGATTATAATGGGATTTAAGTGGGAGAAGATAAGATGCAGGCCCTCGCTGGGGCCCGCAGTGTGACGGCGCCCGGCGGGGGCGGGAGGAAGCGCGAGGCTGTATTTCACCAGGAGAAGGGTGCAGAGCGCAGCCCTCGCCCGCGCGGCTCCTCTCCCGAGCAGGGGTCCCCGCAGCCCCCCGACACTGGGATCCCACCACACCCCAACATATCTGCTGCGTGCCCATCACATGAGACCGGTGCTTCGGGGCGCGGGGGCCATGGCCCCCGGGGCCTGTGGTCATTTCTGGGGACATGTTTGGTGGTTCCAGCGGGGACGGGAGGCAAGACCAGCGTCTCGTGGGGAGAGGCCGGGGATGCAGCTCCACGTCGTCCTGTGGCCAGGATGCCCCACGGCCCGGAACCAGCCGGCCTGCGCATCCGCCGTGGGGAGGCTGAGAAACCCCGCGATCCGCACAGGCCGGCGGGAGAGAGCGTGGGTCACGGGGGGCCCCTCCCAGAGAGGGGTCTGCGCCGCCTGCGCTGGCTCTGCGTCCCCTCCCGGCCACCCGCTGACCAGGGCAGGTGACAGAGAGGATAAAACGGGACCGAGAAGAAAAGAGCCTTTGAACCCGATGACTCACTCCTGGGCCTTTGGATCTAAATACACCTTCCTGATCACCTGTCAGGAGGGGCTGGAAACCCGGCAGGGTTTTTCTTCCAGGCAAACGCACCGGGCGCCGCGAAGGCCCCAGCAGCACCGTGGCTGCCCGCGGGAGCAGTCGCCCCAACTCACCGCAGCCGGGCCTCGCCGCGCCACATGCGCCACCCGGCCCAAGCCCAGGCCCCGGTCGCCAAGGCCAAGAATCGCGAATTTCATTAAATATGCTAAAAGGGGGAAATCAGCTTTGAAAAATAGTAATCCTGTCTTTCAACAAAAATATTATAGGAAGCTATGAATTCGGTAGATCCGAATAGGATGTCGGTGCATGTTTTACTAAGGTGATACAATGGCGCACTATTATTAGATCGCATTAATCACGCCTGTGCCAGCGGCACTCACAGCCGCGCTGAAAAGGATTGAAAGGCCCGGTAATGGATATAAATTGCCCATTGTGTGATCAAAGGGTTTTTACTAAGAAGGTACGAATAAAACAGCAAATTTCTAATAGAACTGTTGTGCGAAAACCCAAATAAGGGTAATCCATGGTCAGTGATATCCACCAAATCACAAGTAAGCGCTTTTTCAACAAGATCGAGTCACAACAAAAAAATGCACATCCATTCGGCACAGTATAAAATTAATTTCTGCGTGTGCTGTTCTGCCGTCCGTCCCCCCAGCTCACGCCGTGACCCCCGAGGCCCAGGGTCAGGAGAAGGTGGGCCGCCTGGCCAGACCTGGGGGGGCTCCCACAGAGAAGAGGAGGCGCTGCCCGCCGCCCGCCCTTCCGTTTGAAATTGACATTTTTATCAGCTTTGGCGCCCGGAAAACGCTCCGTTACAGAGTCTGCGATCTCGACTCTGATGGAGGCGACATGCACGCGGCGGACCTGGGACAGGTTCCCCCCGAGGCCGGGCCGGGCCGCGGCGGAAGCGGCCCCGGGCAGCCTGTGCAGGGGCGCCTGGCCATGGGCAGCGGCCCGCTAGGCCACCAGCCCTTGGCCGACGTCGGCCAATGGGCAATGACTCAAAAGTGTCACACAAGAGAGAAAGAAGTCAACCTGGCCCTTGCGGCGACACAACACAATCATGCCACCAGCGCCCTGGGCCGGATCCCAGGAACCTGGCATCCAGAAGCTTCTCCATGGCGCCTCCGTCCACGCAGGGACAGGGGCGGCAAGGGGAGCTCCACGCCCACACAGGACGGGGCCCACACCCAGGCAGGGCGGCCTGGCTCCCCACAGACGCCCGCAGAGACGGCGACCAGCGACACACGGCGTTCCTTACCGGGCGGGTCTTAAAGCAGCGAAGCTCCGTCCTGGCTGAAGGGTGTTCTTGGAGCTGCGCTGGGCAGGAACTGCAAAAACAAGGCCCGTGAGAAACGCTCGATGTGGACACGCCGACGTCTACAGGACGGGAAACAGCGCTCGTCCAAGGCGACCATGTGCGCCCGGCCGGTTAGAGTCTAAAAATACCTCACAGCCCCCCCGGCCCCGATTCAGCGAGCAAGTTAAACAATGGGAACTACGTGATCTTAGCTGCAATAAAGCAAATCTGCTCAGGTTCTTTGAATGGGACATTGCCACCTGCCGAAGGGGGAGGGGCCCTGGCCAGCTCTTCTCCGGATGGACAGACGAAAGAAGAGCAAAGAAGCCTGCTCCCTCCCTCCCGGGCTCGCTCTTGAAATTTTAACAGGAATTGAGGCCGTCCGTCCTCACGGGTTCTGCGTCCCCTGATGTAAGAAGCCCTACCGTACGCCACCGTTCCACCCGCAGTCCCCGGGCCGTGCCTGTTCCCTGGCCACACAGCTCCCCTGGGGCCTCACCGGGAACCTCCAAGTGACCCGGCGCAGGGGTGCTGTGCGGCGTTCCAGTCCCCTGTCCCGAACCAAGACCAGGAAAGCGGTAGCACGAGACAAGGGCCCCAAGGGAAGCTGACGGGCCACTCGCAGCAGCCACGCTGGCGGTGCCCTCGGCCGGGGTTCCCTGGCCGGGGCCGGTCCACGGCAATTCAGAATCGGGGTCACGGTGCCGTGTTACAGACGGGCTTTCCTGGGACGTGCGCACGTCCCCTCCTCAGAGGTGGTATTTTACCGGCCCTGGCACTGCCCATTGGGACCTTACAGGGGCCCAGTTCCAGGAGGGGTTCAAGGACGTGTCTGCAAAGGAGAAGCCCGAGGAAGCGTTCGGAGAGCCCCCGGCGGCGGCGCAGCCCCAGGAGCCGGCAGCGAACCCCTGGCTTGCCACGCTCCGCCCCACTCCACAAGCGATCCCTGGCCCCCAAGAGGAGCTTGTGGGCGCGTGCCGCCACGCCTGACGGGCCGTGCCTGTCGACCGGCCGCTCCCTGCCTGCCGAGACGTCGAGCAGAAGTTCGCACCTGAGCGGCCTGTAACAAGGGCGGGAATCCCAAGCTCCCTCCGCCCCGACTCAATCAGATGAGCGTTTGCATTTTTTTTCTCTGTATCGTTTAACATGGAAACCTAGAGAGTGAGAGGCACGTGCTCAAAGCAACGCACCCCCAGCTCTGTGCCCGCCTGGGGGCTCTGCACCGACTCTTTACGTTTGGGGGCCAAGGGGCAGGAGGTGGGGGGCGGACACGGGTTTTCCCGCCAGGGAACGTCTGCGAAGAAGCTCCGCCAAGTCCAGAGATGGGTGGACACAGGGTCCTCGTCTGGGGAAGCCCCACGCCCGCTTGTCCTTGGGCCTCCCGCCGTGACGAGAACGTCACCGTCCCCAGGCACGGGCGCGCGGGGCAGTGTGGGCGCTGCGCTGGCCTCAGTCCTCGGGGGCCATGCGCCCGCTCGGTGGCTGCGCTCGGGCCGCGCCTCTCCCGGCCTCTCCTGACCACCTGGGTTGACCCGGAGGCAGCTGGCCCAGCTGGGCCAGGTGAGCACACCCGCTGGGTGGCAGGGGAGCCCACGTTTGGAGCCCGGGACCTCAGGAGAGCAAATCCGGCGAGCGCCGCCGCAGACTGGCTTTCTGACCCAGCCAAACAGGACGGGGCCTGGTGTCCCCCTGCCGGCACAGCCCCCGCAGGCGGGCAGAGGCACCTGCGTCCGCCCATGGAGGTCCTGGCCAGGGTGGGGAGGCAGGACAGGGCCAGCGCGGGGACTCCGCATCCTCAGTGACGGCAACGGCTCCTTTGGTTACAGGTAAGGCGGCTACATAACCAGAAGCAGGTGCCTGATCTGAGGCCTCGCCTGGTTCCTGTCTCCCCCGGGGACCCCGCCGGGGGCCCAGGGAGGGAGGGGCCGCCCAGGAGACCTCACCCAGTCCGGAGCAGCAGCCACCGCACCGAGAGAATTGCCTCCGCCCCCCCGTGACCCATCGACCCGCTTCCCCGCCGGGCCCCGGAGAGGCCCACCCACGGCACCGGCCGCCCAGCCGCTGGCGCGAGGGCGTCCAGGAGACCTGCTCCTTCGGTCGCTCATCCCGGGCTGGCGGCAGGGGGACCGCAGGTCCGCCACGGGGCACAGCGACAACCCGCCGTGCGAAGAGCTGGGCGAGACAGGGAGCCAGCCAGCGCCATGTGGCCAGCGGGCACCGGGCGGGCAGGGCCCAGGGGCAAGGGCAGGGCGAGAAGGAGGCCCGCGGAGGGTGGAGGTTCAGAGGCCCCAGCGTGGGAGAGGCGAGGGCATCCGGGGGACGTGCAGGGCGGCTGGGACGTGGAGGAGGGCAAGAGGGGGGCAGAGGGAGCTGGGGGGGCGGGGGGCCCTCTCTGCCTGAGGCCCCTCCAGACGCCTCCGAGCGAGGAGAGGAGAGGCAGGGTCTGCAGAGCTCTGTCAGGGACGGAGGAAGGACAGGGAGACACGGAGGAGACACGAGGAACGGAAATCGGGGGTGGCCCAGGCAGCTCTGGCCTCCCCCGCGCGCAGTGGGCCCACCCTGCAGCGTCCCTGTGGACATGAGGGGCGGTCACGTGGGCCCCCCCTTGGAGCCAAGGGCGCCCCCCGCCCACCAAGGCACCCCAGGGGACAGACGTGAAAGCCCTGAGCAGAGGGACCTTCCCCGGGCATGAGCCCGGCCTGCCGTCCTCGGGCTCCGGGGGAGAGGTGACCGGCACCTGCAGAGGCGAGCGGAGGTGGCCACCCACCACGGCCAGGGCCCTCGGCCATGAGCCCCGAGGGTAACGCCAAGGCCCTTCCTCTGGGGCCCCCTTGGCACCTGCCCCGGCCACCACGCACCTGCCTCCCTGAAGGCCACCTGGGTAACAGGAGGCACCGTTTGCCAAGGGCAGGCCCTGGTGCACCTCCCAGCACCTGGGAAAGGCCGGGCCCCCCCCGCCAGACCCCACCCTTGGGCCCAGGGCCTGGAGCTCAGGAAGTGCCAGGAGGGTGGAGGGCGGGGCGGGAAGGAGAGAAGGGAGGGAGGAAGGAGGGGAAGACGAGACAGAAAAACAGAGGGTGAGGCGGGGGGGGGGGGGATGAGCGAAGGACGATGGGCTCGGTTCAGCCTCCCCGGCCCGCGTCCTGCCCCAGAGGCGCCCCTGCGGGAGGACGGACGGGGACTGAGGGCTGCCTGCTGAGGAGCCCGGGCGGATGCGACGGGCGCCTTCCTTCCAGGGAACAGGACGGAGGGAGGGAGGGGTCGCGCTCCGAGCCAGCCGGACGCCTCAGCGGGCCCCGGCCGCGCAGCGGTGTGGCCCACACGTGACACACCTGGACGAGGCCCAGCTGTGGGCCAGCCCCTCGGAACCCTGCTCTCCTGTGTCCGGAGGGGCGCACAGGCGGGGGCGCCAGCCTCCTCTCCACGGGGCCGCACAGCCCCCCTTCCTGGGCTCGGGCCCCCCAGCTCAGCCCGCCAGGGACCGGGACCCTGCCACCGCGCTGGGGCTCCTCACATGGGGCCAGGGGTCCTGCTCCGCAGCACGGAGTGACCCCACTGTCTCTGGGGACTCAGAGGGGCAAACACGGCCCCAAATGGCACCGCCGTGTTCCTGCACGTTCCAGCGGGAGAGGGTTCGTTCCCGCCGAGGAAAGCAGCCTGGGAGGAGCGGGACGTCGCGGACGCCTCCCCCTCGGCGGCCCCCACAGGTGCCCCCGCAGGTGCCCCCGCGGGCCTGCCCCTTCAGGGCCCGGCGCGCACACTGCCTGTGCCCACGGGGGCCTGGGAGCCGCGCGCGGCTTCGCCGGAAAGACGATGAAACGCCAAACACGGTGTCAGGCGGCAGCAAGCTCTAAGAACGAAAACCAGGCCGGGGAAGGGTGGGTCGTGGGCCTCGGACTCTATTTCAGGGAAGGCGATCGGACACTATTTCAGGGGAGGCGATCGGGGAGAAGCGTGACCTCCGACCGGAGGCCGGATCAAGGGCGCCCAGCCGGAGGGGCTCTGCGAGCAGAGGAGCTGGCGGGGGCGAAGGCCCCGGGGCAGGGAGAGGAGGGCGCCATGGAGGGGCGGCAAGTAGCTCCCCGTGGCCAGGTGAGGCGGAGGGGCCACCACGGGCCCCTGGGGATCCACGGGCCTCGCCAGGCACCACGGGGGCCTGGATTCCACTCCGAGCCACCGGCCTGGCCACGGCGCCCGCGTCCCCTGGGAGCACGTCTGTCCTCTGCAAACCCGCCGCTCCACAGCCCGTGCCCAGCCACTCCCTATCCCTGGAGCTCACACTCCAGGCCACTGTCCCCTGCCCCCTCTCCCGCCACCGCTGCCCCGGGGCCAGGCCCCTGACAGCTGGAGACAGCGCCTGCACCCAGAGCCCCTGGAAGCCGCCCAATCCGGCCCATCCTGACCCTGCCCTCCCACCGAGTCGGCCCTTCCCTCCCAAACCGCGTGAAGCTCGTGCCCAACACACCCTCCCTGCTCCCTCTGCCCCGACCTGCCGGGGCCTCCCCGGCGGCCCTATGGGGCCTGGCGCCCCTCCCCTGGAGACTGTGAGTAACAGCCATGTTTCCAATGGCCACCGTCTCCTGACCGGCTGGCCCCCGACGTGTGTGATCTCGGGGCCACCTCAGAGCCCTGCCTCCTTCCCGCAGCGCCAGCCCGCGGGGACCCAGTGGCCGAGGGGCCGTCATCCGGCAGCCACCAAGGGTCGGAGCAGAGGAGGAGCTCGAAGCAGCGGTGCTTCCGTGAACCCCATCCGCCCACGCTACAAGGCCCTGCACATGGGGAGCACGCGCCCGGGTGAGTGTGGGCGCACTCGCAGGCGGGGGGTGCGGGCGCGGGGCTGCCCAGACACACGTCGCAGGGAAGCCTCTCCCTTCGTTTGGAGACAAAGGTAACTTTGACGGCAAAGCCCCGTGATACCTGCTCGAGGGCAGCAGAGGCTCGGGAAGCCGGGCCCCGCGGGCCGGCCAGGTGCGGGGACAGCGGAGCGCGGGGGCTTCCTCCCGCCCAGCGACCCCGCGCGTGTATTTTTACA